AGTTTACTCGATCTTGCTATTTGCCTGCGAGATATGGCCAATGGGAGTGGGAGATGTTAAGAAGCCATCAGCCTTTGACCACTCATGTCTAAAATAAAATACATTTTACCGATTCGTCAAGGGTATAAAATCGCAAATAATTGTATCCATCTTGGCTCAAATACCATCTGTATTAATAATGTTATCACAGTGCATCCCCTTCGTTAATTAGGATACGTCCTCCCTCGTCCACCACAGAAGTTGACACATATTTCACTATTTGCCGAATCCTGTGACGGTTGGCATCAAAAGCGAGAAGGGCCAGTCAAGACCTGACTGGACAGTCAGAAAAGATTTTGAACGTATAGGGGAACCAGTGTTATATGGACTTGGACGATGGAAAGAGAAATGGGTTATAAGTCTATTACTACTTGTGATGGCGCGACCGAGCAACTTGGAGACATCTTATCTTTGTAGCCAATAGGGTCGGCCTAACCAGCTGTTAGAAGAATAAGATGATCTCAGTGGGATTTCCATCACTGACCAGTTTATGTATGCGAATAATAATTTAAGATATTTCTTTATAATTTTTTAAATTTTATTGGTTATTGATGCGTCGGTAGCTTAATGGCAAGATTATTGTTAGCGACAATCGGAAAATTTGTCGTTCGATTCCGCTATGCGCATCTATCTATGTTTCGCAGAACGACGTTTTGCAAAAGGTCATAGAATGACTCAGTTGGTTATTGCTCAGTTTGGAGCGTCATTGCTGGTTCGTTCGAAAGAAATTGAACCTGTCATTCAAAAATCCTATTGATGATGGCGATTCGTCTGATGCTTCTTTTACCAAGTCGTTCTCCTTGTAAAATTTTTTGGTTCGGCAAACCAGCACGACTAACTAGCTGTTTAAAAAAATAAATTTTCTTTTTTGATAAGTTTAATAGTGATATCATAATTACGAAACTATCTTTGCTTATTGGTGCAGGATTAAAATCAAAACCGTAGTATGTAACTCTGTCCTATCTATGTGGTGAATGAATCAAGCAAAAGTTGAATTCTCCAATATGAAATTTTTCTTTCTCTTTTAAATTTCCAACGATCCGTTCAATAATTTCAGTTTTTTTAAAACTCCAATATAGGTGGAAGTGCGCACTTCAATGGAGTTGCTATTGACACCACTAGTGATATCTCGTAATAAACAAGAACGTGTACTTATTGAACCGTCAATAAATTCATTACGAATTAGTATAGCAATTAAGCAAGCTGATGATATCGAAAGAATTCTTGCTCATAAGTTTACACGATTTATGAGTCAACGAGCTGATAGTTTTATCATACTTCGAAGGTTTTATTCAATTTTATTTATTTGCTTTAATAATCTTTTTTTTCTTTAAAATCCATCAGACATTTGAATATTAAAATAGTATTAAATTCTCATATGAAATTTTCTTAAATAAATTTAAGAAAAAACTTAAAACGAAAACGATTCTATAAAATTCTCTTTTTTTACATTGGGCATATTTTCCTTTTAATATATATTTTCTGTTTATTATTTAATTATTATTGTTTATTATTTATTTAATTTCAGAAATTTTTTCAGAAAACCGATGCCCGGTTATGATATTTCATTTTTAATAACTGCAACCCATACAGAAATGATGTATAAACATAAACTGGTTGATTTTTTGATTCATTTCATGCAAGAAGTAGATAAGGTGAATTTTTTCTTTATTTTTTATTTTTTCTTATTTTACTTTTTTGTTTTGGATATTTTTTGTCATTTTTTCTTTAAATTATATTTTTCTAGTTATCTGAAGTTTGCGGAAATTTTAGGAGATAAACGATATGAAATTGGCAATGAATGCTCGTGCTCGTGTTTCTGCGGAGGAATTTCTAAAAAGATTTAATTAAAGCTGTTGCTGTGGAATGATTCGTATATGCCTCTGATTCGTCTGTTTAACTTTTGTTATTACCGAAATAATCCCAAATTTTGCTTTTTTTAGCACTGGAAAAGGACTTGCATTTCCATGCTTTCTTTAATTTTTCGCTATTTAAATCATTTACACGTCTTTTTTCCATTCATTCCATCTTATCATCGCATTCTTTTTTCATTATTTTCATGATTAACTGGAACAGTGAACTCCATAGTGTGATGGTCTTTTAGTTGTTAAGTTCATCATTTCCACTGTGATTTTTTTTGCGACGATTTATTTTGTAGTATTGGATCGCAAATTAAATTAAAATATTGCTTTATTTTCTGTTTTTTCCAGCACCTTGTTTTTTCTCTTTTTATTTGTTTTGTTCACTATTGTTGGTTTTTTCGCGATTATTTTTTCGTTCCGAACATGTGTCAATGTTGTTGTTTCTACATAATTTTCTTGCAGTATTTGCTATAAAATGTTCGAAATATTTTCGTTTTCAGTGGTTGTATTGGTGCAGTCGTATTGTAGGATTTGGTTAATTATTTTTTTTATTTATAGATTATTTACTTATTTTGATGCAACTCAAATATTGCTCATATAAGCCCTTTCTAAATACATTTATTTCTTCGATATCTTCGTTGACTGGGCCATTGGTAATTTTTGTAAAGAATGCTTCAACTTCACAATGCTTTTGATTGATCGTTTTCGAGAACTTGTTTTTTCATTCGGAGGCTTGGATCTCTGCTATTCGTCCTTTTCTCTTTCCAGCTAAAGTTTATTGGCAAAGAATCCTTTCTAAAGAAATATTTTATTTCAACGGTTATTATTTGTTTCAATGGTCATTACTTATTTTATGTAATCCTTAAGAATTCAAAATTAGAACATTGCGATTATATATTTATTTTGTTGATGATTGCTAGTGATAATTGAAAAAAAAATTGTTCAAAAGCATTTCTGTCAGATGGAACTTATTGTTTTTGGAATTGTCGAAGGGCAAATACATTTAATTAATTGTTCTTTAAAAGATCTTAAATCGGAGACGATATACCAATATATATATATATATAAGTTGTATTTAATTCATCAGCCTTCGAGGACAGTGGGGACTGCTTGAGGGGGTCCATTGTTTGCTCCTGGTGAAGATTTCTGTCGGGATCAGTTTTGCTGGAATCCCATCAGCTCATCAATAACAACTGAAACTCCATCGAAATGGGCCTGATAAAATGTTTGTCGGAAATAAAGGCTGATTTGTCTGAACTATGCTTTTGAAAGGATGAAAAACTATGTTTTATTATGATTTTGCATTATTTTAGGATGATAATTTATAAGTGTGCTTTTTTCATAATTATCTTTCCAATTACAATATCGGTTGCGTTTGCGACTGAAACAACACCTTCAACGTACAACATTGAAGGGCAAATTGTTCTGGCAGATTCGATCAATGCAAAAAGTAACTGGCACATCAATTGTCGTGTATTGGCCAATTATGGAGAATATGTCGGTTTCGTCAGGTCGGTGTTGTTTTATTCTTAAAATATTCTTAAAATTGTAATTTTTTGTGATTTACAATTCATTTTTAATCATCATTCAAGCACATCGACTGTTTTGAAAATTTATTCCGTATGTTAGGAAAAATTTCGAGTTCCAAAAAATTTTTTGTTTGATTTTTCTTATTCTTTTTTGATGATTTTGACGAATAAGTTTTGATCATTTAGAATTATTGAAAATATTATAATTTAAATTTCTGGAAGAGATGTTTGCGTTCAGCAAAATAATTAATTTCAGAAAAGACGGCTCATTTTTATTAACGGGTGTACTACCCGGTTCTTATATTGTTGAGATTTCGCACATTAATTACGTTTTTGAACCGGTGAGAGTGGATATAACTTCAAAAGGGAAATTTCGTGCGCGTCGTTTAAATCTTCTTCAGGTTTTCGATTTTTTGTCATTATAAGTTTTATTGGTAATGTAGAAGGCATGATCCACTGTTTTTTTAAAAAATATTCTACATGCCAGTTATCTCCTAAAAAATATTCTATATCTATATTTGGTTCTTCATTACAATTTTTCTTTATTATTTGTTTTTTGTTCATCTATTATTTTCAGCCATCTGTAGTATCTGCATTACCATATCCGCTAAAATTAGTTGCTTCACATCAGATTACCTATTTTCGTCCGCGAGAGGAATGGCATTTAATGGATATGCTATCCAGTCCAATGGTCTTAATGATGGTGATACCTCTTTTGTTACTTGTCATTTTCCCGAAACTTATCAATACGAATGATCCTGAAGTTAAAAAGGTATTTATTTCTTATTTCAGATTTTTTTAAATTTTTTTCAATAAAAAAAAATTTTATTTTTCGAATATTAAAGGAAATGGCGAAGAGCATGCCTCAAATGGATGTTCCAGATGTTTCTGATATGTTGGCTTCATGGCTCGGTGGAAATCCGAAAAAAACTTCAAAAAAAATTTTATCTAATAAAAAGAGGATAATAGAGGACTTTTGATGCTTCTTTCCTGTTTATTTCTTTTTTCAAAGAGCTTTCAGCTGTATTTATATTTTTTTACTAAAATTTTAGATTTTGAGTTAAACTTTGGTTAAATTATGTATATTTTAGCCCTCACTTCGTTACATTTTTTAGCCAATATTATAAACCAAACTATCAAGATATATTGTAACATTGATTGTTAGTTCCGATGAGAAATATGGAAGAAATATTGTTCCGTAATTATTCCATTTTCTATTGCATTTTATTCATTAAATTTTGCTAGAATTATTTTATTCTGAATTCTGTGATAGACCTCTTGCAATTCTTCTTATCATTAGCAATTTTATATATCGTATGTACATTTCTGCGATTACAAAGATTATCAAGTAAAGATCTATCAACATTTGTTGACAGTTTGGAAATAAGTGAGTATTTCTTTGGTCTAAAATGAGGAGTTTTAAAAAATCATCTTGATGCTAGTTCTGAATTATTGCTTTCTGAAATAAGTACGAAGTTACCATTAATTAATCTTAATATTGGCTGCTTTATAACTGCAATGGAAAATAACTCTCGGGATGTGCTTAATTAAAGTGAATTTTAAAATAAAGAGAATAACAGTGAAATAAAGTGAATGTGAATTTTACATTCAAAACCAAAAGTAAAAAATTTATTTTGGGGAGCGAAATTTTTCATAGTTCATTAAACCTCGAAAGAAAGTGTTTGTTCAAAAAACATGCAAATATGTGGGCTTCGGGCTTTTTCAGATTTGAATATTTTGATATTGCAAATATTATTTTGGCGATATTAGTTGCTAAATAAATGAATGCTTAAATGAACCTCAAAGTTGCCATGGCAATGTGCTTTTATGCGCTTTTATAAAATTTTATAACGCCACTTTCGTTTTAAACCTTTTTGGAATGATATTAAATTAGGACAAGGGAGACGTGGTTTGCACACTCATACATTTTCAGTAGGCGTTAGCAATATATGTTGGATTTAAGCAACAGGTTTACTTCTTTCAGGATCGGGCAAACGAACTTTTGGGACAAATTGAAATGACTATACCATTTGACCGTCCCTGTTTCAATCATTAAAAAATTTGATAGATGAAGTAGGGGTAAACTTACTGATTGGCAGTCAAATTTATGTTTTCTAAATCGATCAAATTTAATTATTATATTATGTGCACACATGTTACCATGGGACGCGATAGCCGAGAGGTTATTCAGATTATCGTCTCGAACACACAATTCCGACCTTACCTCTAGTAAGAAGCAACCATGGTCAATAAATAATCGGCTCGTGTCACTTGAATTTCTATATCTAAATAGCTCCTTGGCAAAAATTTCTCATCTAAGTAACAATTGTGGATCGGGCAACTTATTTAGTTATTATCATATTATCATACGTTACTAAAATTAATTTTGGAAAATAAGGAAGTGGTGCGGAAGAAGTCCAGAAGTCCTTGTTAAATCAATCCACTTTATTAATATGGGAAGAAACTACATTTTAGAAAGTATTTTTTTTCAAAAAATCTTCGAATCCATATTTTATTAAATATTTTCAGATTCATGGGTATTTTTAGTCAGTTGACATCTGTGCTTGGACTGGGCAAAAAACAAGTGAATATTTTAGTGGTTGGACTTGATAATAGTGGGAAGTCAACAATTTTGAATTATATGAAACCAAGCGAAGTTCAGTCCACTCATGTACGCTTCAGAAATATTTTAATATTTGGTTCAATTCATTTTTTTTCAATTTGTTCTAATTATGTTCATTTTATTTAAATTAGCAAATAGCAAATAATAGCGGGGGAATATGTGAAATTTGTGAACTTTTCGCATAACTTTCGTAATAACTTTTATTTGATTAAATATAAATCTCGGAAGAAAAAAGATTTTAATGGTAATTTCTTCGAAATTATTAATTTCCTAGAATATTTTGAAACTTTCATGAATATTTCTTCTTCTAGCAACACTAACCATTTCCGATTTCACTTGCTCTACCACCCACTAAAGATGAAAATAAAAGTATGGATGGGTACCTAGCCAGCCAAATTTTACTTTTTATATGACAAGAATATTTCAGTGAAAGACCAGAAATCGAATGTGTTATTCGAACCCTCCTTTCCTGTTACATGTTCACCTCAAAACCTTTATTTAAATCCTGAGGATGAGCCCACTTCTTTTTCGTTTAAATCTATCGTTAACCATATCGCTAAGCCTATACATTCAGAACCTGTCCTTAATTATATCGATCCAAGCTTTGATTGACCCTTCTTACTTTCGGCGCCATCCATCACAGGACTTAGCAATTAGCGAGTTATTAAATTCTGCAATGGACGGAGAAGAACATGCTCTAATCAGCTTGATGACGCTCTATGATGTTATTATCAATGTGTTTGAGCGAAGGTGGATATGAGATTTTATCCGCTTGCCATGTATAATGTCTTAGAATGGTCAAAAATGGTCAAGGGAAGAACGAACACATTTCCACCGCGATTTCATCTTCCGCTTGCCCTTTTGATCTTAGAATGGTTCCATGATATTTTAAAAAGTTAAAATCTAACACTTCCTCGGTTCTCAATGAATTGATAAAAATCAGTATTATCAGTGTTTCAACAGCGTTTGGTATGTTGGGCACTTATTTGTATGGATTATGAGTCCAATTTTTGCTGCAATTATCGATATATATATAATCAAAATTTATTTATATAATCAAATGAATTTGCAAAAATAGTACCATGAAAATACTTTTCTGTTTTATAATATTTTTCACTAATTTCAGCTGGTTCCTACTGTCGGATTTAACATAGATAAATTCACAAGCAATAGATTAAATTTTGTAGCTTTCGATATGTCAGGTCAAGGTTTGTTGTTCATTGCTTTCTAACTATTATCTAATGTTCGAGCACTAAAATCATCTTTTCGTTTATCTCGTTTATATGAAGAGAGAGTTACTTGAATTGAGACAAACAAGCTTATAAATTTTTTATTTTTTATAGGCCGCTATAGAAATTTATGGGAGACATATTACAAGGAAACTGAAGCAATTGTATTTGTTGTTGATAGCAGTGATCACTTAAGAATAGCTGTTGCTAGAGATGAACTCTGGTTAATGTTGGATCATAAAGATCTTGCTACAAAGCAGGTTAGTCACGATATTGCATTCACAAATTTTTCTATTGTACATTATAAAAATTCTTGAAATTCTTCACTAAGATTGTCTTAAAAATTTCACTAGGATGCAAATTGAAATTTGGGTGTCATTTCATGGCAAAAATTTCTTTTCGAATATTATTCTGGAGATGAAATATCATCAAATATAAACCGAAGATCCTTGAACTATTTCAGATTCCCTTGTTAATCTTCGCCAATAAAATGGATGAAAAAGGCTCACTGGTAGCTTCAGAAGTGAGTCGATATATGGGTCTTGATTTGATTCGGAATCGAAACTGGTACATTTGTGCTTCCTGTGCTATTACTGGAGAGGGTTTGCCTCAGGGTTTCGAATGGCTTGCGCAAAATGTTCGAAATGAATGTAAAAAGCAAAATTTCTAATCTATTTGTTGAGGTGCTAAATTCAATAAACATCATACAGCCGTCCCAATGGAATCCCTAAGTCTAAATCTGGTGCATAAATTTTCACTTATCAAGTAATTTTTATAAAATCTTTTGGCATCAAATTTCATTTTAAAAAAAGAGAGGATTTTCATCTTCTTTCGTCGTTTTTTCTCATTATCCTTAAATCGTTTAATATCGATAAAGGATATCGATCTCTGCAAAAGAATTTCAGTTAGAAAAGGAATAGTAATTGAAAAATTTTTTGATTGAAAAATCAAAAAATACATGTGTTTCATCTCCATCTTTAGGATAAGAATTTCCTGAAAAAGTTAGCTAATTCTTTTATTATTTTGTTTTTTAAGCTTGAAATTTGAATGTAATTCGTTTCTATTTGAATGTAATTCGTTTGATTTGTCATATTTATCATATGAGTTCAAAATATTTCAATATTTCAAGTGAAAGAGACCAGATTTTAGGGTCTCGTCAGAAAAATTGAATTCAAAATACAAACATTTCAACAATTTTCCCATTTTCAAATATTTATCATCTCGTCAATAGTGTCGAATAAAACACTTCTTTCTCCGACATAAATAAATGATTTACTATTTCTTCTTCAGCTGGTACCATGATTTACATCTATTTGGGTAAGATATTTCACTCGTATATGGGCCGTTCAATGCACTAAGTGACGATTTCTTACAAACCATTTAAATTTTATATTTTTGTTTATTTCAAAGTTTCATTTAAATTTGAATTTTTAGCAATTTATAGGATTTTCATTATTACCGTTCAAAATCACTCAATAATTCCGAATTTGAAGCGTATATATCATCACCAAAGATTCCAAAGATTCATCTGGGAATAAAAAGTGTAGGAGCATTTCAAGCAACATTCAGGCCCCACTGTTTAGATCTACTCGCTTCAGAGAACTGAGTTCACGATGCTTTAATCGGAAATATGTTTATCATTCCTCTTTTTATAGATATTTCTATCACAAATTACAAAAAGCATAAATTGCGTTTTTGCATAAAAAATAGGTATCTCATTATAAATATAACATAACCCAAAACTTATAAGGGGTGCGAAATTACTTGCATGCATAAATGATTGATCGTCGAAGAGAATATTTATGATTAGCAATAAAAGAGTGGACTTTTATTAGACCGCTAATACCGTTTCCTCTGCTAACATTTGAAACATTTGAATGGCATCAAATCGACACTGTATTTTTCATCTACATAATATTCTACATAATATTAACCACTGCAAATTATCTGTTACAAGATTTTCTCCAATTTTAGGAAAATCGAGGCCACTTCAATCATTATAATTTAAGCATAAATAATAAATAAAAAGAGGGGGAAATTTGATTAAAGATTGATTAATATAATTAAAAAAACAGCAATTATAGTAACAAAAATATTTCTGGCTGAAACAAATTTTTCTAAATACTTTATGTTGTTACTTAGGGACAAAATAGCAGAGTGGGAAGTAATTATCACATTGTGAGGTAAAGGCTCAGAGATCTTACTCTTGAGGGCATTGAACCTGTTTTCGGATGGTTCTAGCGACCTATCGCAAAGTGACGCAAAAATTTCTGGCTGTGTTAATAGCCAATGGAGCTAGTCCAGCCAGAGATAATAAGCGCTACTTTTTTATGTAATAAAAATATTTTTGTTTTACTTTCTTTATCCTTATTGTGGGAATTAAAAATTGAAGCTTTTTATACACCGCATTTTGCCTAATTAGTTAATTCTGAAACTATTGAAAATTCTTGCTAGCTTGGTGCTTAAAACCGATAAATCATTCATCCTTGTGCTCACAACAAATAAATAAAGGGCTAACGATTAGAAATTAAGAAACTAATTATCTCTTTCTTTATGATCAGATGCACTAGGAATCAGATTCAATCTTAAATTTTTTGATGGACATTCGTTTACTGTGAAATTGCGTAAATTTAGCGTTAAAAACCATTTTAAATAATTATAATATTCTTAAAGTTTTTATTATTGTAAGATTTGCATTAATTTATAGTATTACTCATATTTAAGACTTTCTGCTATTCTGTAATTTACACGACTCGAATTCTCAAACTTTTACGACAGGAAAATTATTTATAGGAACCCAGACATAAAACAACTGATAAATAAATCTCGATTTAAAAAGCCATCAATTCTGAGATAGGGTTGCGGAGTTATAGAGTGACATATTGTTTCACTATTCACTAAGCTCCCGTCCCTTGGCTAAAAAAAAAGATATTATTAAAAGGAATTCGAATGGACACATACTCCAAGTGATTCTAAGCAACATTATCTGAAAAGCCATTAAAATCAGAAGAGCAAAAAAGGAAAATAATTCTAACGTGGATAAGAACTGGACTTTGGGTAAAATAAAGAAAAAAATTGCAAAATATTATGAAATTTGGCTTATCGCTATAGAATTATTCATTTATTCATTCCTATATTTATTATTGCTTGCCAATCACAACAATCAAGGAAATTTTTTCCTTATAACAACATCATTTATTGTTAAAATAATTAATAATATAATATGTCTCTAGCGAATTATTTCTCAACAACCATAAAAATGTTAGCTAAATTTTAGCACATTTTTTCGCAACCTTCACAAGAAATTCTTATTTGAACGTACCCGCTTATTTTGACCCTTTCGGTCAATGAGCATAATCTATTAGCCATTAGTTATTCTATTCCTTTCACGTTTTTGATCAAAAAAGGCGCTCCTATATGTGACAACCATTTTTTTCAATGGATTTACGTGATTGATTACGAAAAATTGAAGTTATCGTTATAGCTAGCAACTATCTATTTAGATAATTAACACATATATATTAAATCTTACTAATGCTTAATTTAATTAAATTATAAACTTGGAAGGTTAATTCTGAGAAGTTTCTTTCATTCCATGACTTTTTCTCCCTTTTTGAAAATATTCATGAAGCGAAATGTAAACGTTTGATTCCAGAAATAAAATAAGTTTTAATAAATTAGCCCCTCTTTTTTTTAAACACTTCAGAGTGGGTATAAGCAAGTGAATAGAGCTTTATGTTAATAGGCTTAGAGTCAAGGATCTTTTTTCGCATAGGAATATTTTTGTCAGCAAAAAACCTAAATAATGCTAGTTGTTTATTTCCATCGCTAATGACTCTGAATCAGTTAATCTAAAAATGAAGAGCGCCCTTTCTTACTTGTCGGATAATTACTCCATTTTTTTGGGGAGGATAGCCATCTGAAAAAGGGATTTCTAAAATAAGAAATTATATAAATAATGGGTTATTTTTAATTCAATTTTTTGAATTAAACGAAATTCATATTAAGAAATATAAACCTGAATAGGTAAAACAGTTGAAAAAACCATGATACCCAAAATAAATAAATAAGATGAAGCAAAAATAGCAAAAACACTAATCAATTTGCGTTTCTTAGCCAAATATTTTTGCATTTGAGGTCGAACTATGGAAAAAGAAAATTTATGATCGTTTAAAGGAGGGTAGATTTTTTGATTTGTGTAGCAAAAGATTGAAGATTTATTGGTCCTGGTGTTGCACCACATGCGATTCACAGCGATATGACCGACAAAAAGGATTCTGTAGGCAAACCACGCCTAATTTATAGTTACACTTTTTTCACGCCCATTCATATCCATTTTGTGTGGTAAAATTTCAAGTAAACGACTATTTGACGGTCTAGTAATGTTTCCCAACCACAATAATTTTACTCAAAATCCGTCAATTGGTACACATTTGCCAGCGAAATGGTTGAACGATAATATGGTTAACTTACAAGTACCACTCTCAACTGAAAATTCGCAAAATTCAAATTCAGCACAACCATCACAGTGGCATAATGATGGTACCAATAATGTCCGAATATCGCAAACTGAGAATAGATCACCAATGCAGCAATTCAAATACTCAAATGATGAGATTAGATGGCCTTCCGAGTTTGGTTACCAATTTCCTCTTTATCAGCCGCAGATTCCACCGAGTGCCTATTCTTCCACTTCATTTCCGTCTACTTCCTCTGCAACCTACAAAGTGGAAAATGGATATTGCTACCAGAATTCTATAATGGTTCCATCTTATCATGGAACACCAAATGAATATATGAGTGCCATGAGTCAATCCATCCCTACTCAATGGAAGGTAGGTTTAGTTTAGAATGTTACATATATATACAATTTTCAATTTAGTTTAGAATGTTATATATACAATTTTTAAAAATTTGAAATTTCGCCAGATATCTTTATTTTCTGTTGCTTTCATATTTCAGACTTCTGCCTCACCTTAAACCTCTAAAATTCTAAGAATCAGAAAAAATTGATAGTTAAAAAATGCAAAAATTTAGATACCTTTGCAACCTCCAGGTTATCATGTGAGGCCGTCAACTTCTGAATATAACGAATGTGTGCGAAGAACAACACCGCCGTATCGGACAGGTCCAGGAACTAATAGTGAGCTTTTTACTACTTTTATGATTATTGGTAATAAAATTTTATAAAGGGCTCATTTGTCAATTTTTATGGCTGTCCAATGATTATAGATTCATAAAAATAGTGAGGAATTAGGTTGATGAAAGAAATATCATTTAAAAAATGCGTAGGCATTGTAAAAAGACAGTTATCGGCGATAGGCGTTTAGTTAAAGTAATTCAGTGATAACAAAAACGGATGCATGAAAAGAAAAATGAGTTGGTGATTATTTTTTTCAAGATATTTATATAAAAATCTATAGAATTTCCACTAAATGATTTCAGTCTTTAAAAAAATTCATGGCATTCTTAATTGAATGAGCACTTTTCCAACTGTATTAAATTTTATATTAAAAAAATTTTATCTGAATAAATTTTCAAAATTACAAAAATTTGGATTGTTACTACGATTAGAAATCTTGACCGAGAAGAAACCTTGGAAGTAGAAAAGTGGGGTCATATGCATCACCAGGATTTTTTCTTAATAACAGTCTGAATTGCTCAACATCTAACTTCCTTCCTTCCCCTATTACACTCTACATATATATATATATAATACAGTAAACAATGTTTAACACTAAAAATAGATGAAAGAAAGCGTTCTTTTTAATTTGATTTTCCAGCTTTCTCACTTGAATAAAAGTTGTAGAATATCATTTCAAAAATTTATAATTTAAAATTGATAATTTATAATTATAAATTTAAAATTTACGATTTTATTATGCTACCAATGCTTCCAAAAAGATTTGCAAGCTTAATAATCATTGAATTTTAACGAACTTTGTTATTTATTTATCCGTAAATATGTTAAATCCGTAAATATGTTGATCTATTGTTGATCTATTTATAATATTTTTTTCAATTGGAATTATATAACAATATGTGATAGACAGAATTGCATACTAAAAGCATTTTTGCGATTAATTTAATATATTCATATTTATTAATGTTTACTATTTATTGATATTTCTTTTTTTCCTACTCTTCTTCATCGTTTAAGTTTCATGCAGTAGATAGAAATATATATGGGTGCAAAATCGCTCGGATTTCTCCATCACATTTACTCCTATCAATCGGTAGAAATCGAACTCATGGTGGCTTAAATCTCAGTTGAAGCGCAACTTTTTATGATTCTTCGAAATTTTTTATCTCAAGCTTTACAGTTAGAAAATTAACCATTTGAGAGATTAACCATATAATTTAAAGCTTTTTCCTGATTTTGCTAATAAACTTAATACTTCGAATAAACTTCGAAGTTTTTCAATGCAGTAATAAAATTGCACTGTTCCGAAAATATACCCCCAAGGTTTCCTTCATTATATTAAATTCATTACAAATCCATTGTTAATATACAAAATCAAATACATGAGTAATTGGTTAGTATCATCATTATGCATCATTTCTGATTAGTCTCACTCTGACGAAAGTATAGATATACGGGTCACCAGCACCACTAAGATCTTTCCATAGCAATTTTATTCCATGTTTATCCCAGTCGGAGTTAGAAGCCGAGCTGTTTCCTTTAAAAACATGATAATTATATGGGAAAATAATATCTTCTTAATATCTTCCACTCTCATCTGCTATATCCATATAACAGCCATATAGCAAGACCGGGCGAATCGCAACTATATACAACTATATAGACGTATATTTTCGTTTTTATAGTGATTTCGCCAGGAGTCCATGAAGGCTTCGTTAACAAAAAGAAGACATTTCCAGTTATCAGTATTATGATTTCGTCTTCTTTGGGACTGGAATGGATGCGAATATTTAAAATATAGTACTTCCTCAACCAGTAATGAATTGTTAAAAATAGGTGTTTTAACAGTTTCTTGAATTTATAAGAGTTTGTAAGAGTTTCTTCAATCTGAATCTTTTCAGGATTTTTTACTATTGGTTAATTTAATCTTTTTATCAGTTGAATTTATTGCATTCAATTTTACATAGATGCAGTATAATCGAATGAATAGTGATTAAGATTATCACGTTTTACTGGTTTGCGGATAAAAACTCACATCATTGTATTTATTTTCGCTCAAAAATCACTTATATTAGCAATACCATCACAGAGCGCCGTCTTCGCTGGTTAGAGCACGTTCTTCGTCGTCCATCACAGGACTAATTTTGTTACTCGCTGAATCCTGTGATGGATAAATTGATACAATTAGAAAAGATTTTGAATGTATAGGTGGTCCAGCGTTATGTGGACTTGGGTGATGGAAAAAGAAATGGCTTCTATTATTGCCGGCAATGGCATCGGATCGGGCAGCTTGGAGAGATCTTACCATAATAACCAGTGGAGTCATCCTGATCAATAATAGTGAGAACTGTTAAAAAAAGAACTTTTTAAGCTTATGTGTCTTTCAACATTTTTTATAAATCAGATTGTTATTATGTTAGTATTAATATTGTTATCGTTATTAAGACGTGCGAGTTCGAACGACTGAAAAATACCGAAATGTTTACTCAGAACAGCAAAGGTTGGAACTGGAAAAAGAATATCGTACATCGACATTTATTAATGCTATAAGAAAATCTGAACTTTCAACGCAATTACATCTTACCGAACGACAAGTCAAAATTTGGTTCCAAAACAGGTTGGTTATCAAAATTTTTACGATTAAATTTACCAGTAATGAATTAAAAATAAACAAGAATAAAGTAAAATAAACAAGTAAAGAAACGAAGAGAAATATAGTAATTTATTTTTAGTAAAAAAGTTTTGTTTATACACGCAGTTAAAAATTTTTACATCTTCGGATTAGAATTTGCAAATTTCTTTACATAATAATCATTTCCGAGTCGCATATGTTCTCGTTATTTGACAGTAAGTGATTAAAGAAATCGCCAGCTATTTTTGTTACCTGCAAAAATAATTCATATAAAATAAATTACTTCTGATTTCAGGAGAAATTTTTCCAAAATGCAATTTAGAATGGTAAGATAATAGCAATCACAGATTCTAATATTTAGGTTCGCTCCGCTAACTGTTGGATATAATTTTACCAGAGACTCAGTTAAGGATAATAAAGGTGGATCTTCAGCATTATTAGTTTAAGAGCGCATATTTATTCGATCTAAATGATGCGATCAATCTACAATTATATCATGAAAAGACACTCTGGCAAAAATTTCCAACAAATTACCAAATAGCCAATGGAGATTGGTTTAACCAGAAAATAGCGAGCCACTTGCTTATCTATTACTCAACAGCAATTTAATACATTTTAATACATTTAATACCTTTAATGGAGAATTTATATCATAATTTATATGGAATAGAATTGCTCAATGGGTTGTTGCTCAGTTTGGAGCGCCGATGCTGAGGTGCGATTCCCCGTAGGAGTAAGCCTGTCCAAAAATCTGGGTGATGCTGGCGATTCACATCTATTTCTATCGCCAAAGGGCTCCCTGGCATATTGCCCAATGCGACAAGCCAGTGGAGCGAGTTTAACCAATAATGGTGAGGACTCTTTAAAAAAATAATAATTTATACCATATGCTAATTTAACTTGTTAATTAAGAATAACTAATGAAAAAGTGTTATATGATTATCTGATGAAATAAAACTAATTTGGTGTCACTTGAACTAATAAATCGGTTAAGTGGATGAAAAACAGTTTACTTCGCGAGATTAAGCTATAACACGTAATAACCATGCGTAATCAGAAAGAAAAAAGTGATCGGTTTCTTTTCATCTAAAGCAAACTTCCTAACCGATTGCCGAAATTTTAAAAAGGATAAGTGCTGCAAATATTACGCCATTGATTTATATTATTAATAAGAGCCAACGACTGATATAAACATTAACGCAATTCTTGCATCTAACTTTTTTCCTAACTTTTCCGACTTCAATTTAACATTCATTTTTAACTTTTATCGAATTAAGTTTATATTTTTATAAAAGGAAGGTGAAATGGTGTTGTCGACCTTCGTTTATCTTTATTTGATTTTCTAATGGCACTCGCCATGTTGTCTTTGGCTAGCTTCATTGACTACTGGGATATACGGATATGCTGTCATCACCAAAGAGAAATTTATAGACAGAAATAGATAGAATTATATCAAGTAGCCAACATCATCCTCTTTCACTTTTTATGAGCGATTTGCTCTTCTCCAAGGAAAGGAAAAGAGCCTATGGTAGCTTGACCTTATTCGGGTCCGAATTTATTTTAGTCTGTCACATCCGTATTTTTTCGATAACATTCCTTGAGAGTGGTTGGCGCTCATCATTTCTCATTAGCTTTAGCTTCACTGGCCGTTAGCGCGATTAAAAATCTTCTTTGTCAGGAACTCACTTGACGATTGAAAGTGGATTGCCAGCTAGTTCTGTTGACATATTTATTCAAGAGCAAGAGCAGAATTCTTGCCCCCCAATACGATGGCCACGATGAAATAATGTTTTTGGTTTTCATCTTCTTTTTTCAGGCAATTTTGAATTTTCTTTTCGCTCTTTTACCTTTCTTTATATCTTTATTCTATCTTTTTCTTTATATAACTTGGAAATTTCAAAAATTATTTTTGAACCATGTTTTCCCGAGCACATCCAAACTAATCTCCTTACTTCTTTCAATTATTTGCTTGCTCTCAACATGGTATCTTCTCCTTATGGGTTAAACGAGTCTCTAAATTTCCAGATTTTTCATAAAAATTTTCCTCATATTTTCTACATTTTTAATTTGTATAAAACCTATCCAACGTCGTATAAAATTCATTATACCTTCATATTTGTCTTTATTTGGAATTTGAAATAATTATCTTTTCTGTATTTTTTATTTCATCATTTTAATTACTCAATTATCGTATACTAAATATTTTCGTTGCGTGGAATTTCATTTCTTGATAAAGAATCACAAAATCAATCATTTAATAACGATGGATAATTGCGATGAATTAAGAGTTTAAATCGAAATCATAAAAATTTATGATCAATTGAGTTAGTTGTTTATTACTGTATTTAGAGGCAAATTTTACGATAGGTTTCGCTCATAGTTTCATGAGAAGTGTTTTCAAAGAAAATATCTCACGGGGTCATAAAAATTGAGCATATTGGAGATGACAATGCCCGTGTTGGGTGACCTCTTCTTTTTTTTTATATCACTTTTGTTCAGTTTTCGCCTCTTTTATAATTTTTTAATTAATTAATTTCTAAGTGTTTTTAAAGGAAAGTTCTTATGCACAAAAAAGTTCTTATCTATTTGGTATGTAATCTTTGAAAATTATTTAATATCAGGCTCATACTAATTTTAGTAATTGCTATCGGTCTACTTATTTATATTCCTTCGATTTACTTCAATTCACAAGAGTTCACAGCAATTTATAAAGTTTTTTAGACTTTCATTATCCGAATAACTTCCATTTTTTGAAAATTTTGGCCAAATAAAAACATACATAAGAACATTTTTAATAACTAATATTTGGCTATAATTATGAATAAAATGAAATTATTCACTTAAAAACTAAGGAAAAATTTAAAACATGTTTTGCTTCTTATTTAAATTAAATAAAAGCTTTATTAAAATAAAAAAATATTGCAAAAGGAAAAAAATTGCTCTCCCAATTGAAAATTATAAAAATCATAAAGCAATTTTTAGGATCGCTTTTAAAATTATAAAAAATTATTCATAAAATTATAAAAAATCGTCATCAACATTATTCGTTGCATAATACATTTTAATACATTAGTTATATAATTAATTAAACTCGAGCTTTATTTATATTCATCTCGACATAAAATTCTTAACATATATATAAAATTATTCGTTTGTATTTCCATTGTAGAAGAGCCAAGGATCGAAGAGAACAAAAAAAGCACCGTGACATGCAAAGAAACAAAAGAATGGCCAATCGTTCGATGATGATCCAATAATGATCCATCATATGAATTTAATCTATTTATTGTTACTTTTTTATTATACCTTATTGCCCATTTTTATTTTATTGTATGTATTTTGACTGCTTCTTATGCGCTCACCTATTTTCACCTATCTCAGTTATTGCTCAAATATTTCAATATAATTCTTTTAGCCACAACTAGTCTATACGGTATAAACTATAATCTTTAAAGAACAATCAGCATTACCGCCATCCCATTATTATTATTATTATTATCATTATTATTATTGTTATTATTATTACTATTATTATTATTATTATTATTATTATTATTATTATTATTATTATTATTATTATTATTATCAACAACACCAACGCCACCACTACTATCATTATTCCTTGTGCAATAATCGCTGTTACCGTAGAACGAAAAATTTCGTAAAAATTAAAAGCAATTTGCTTCTTTCAACAGCGAACAACGCTAATGCAATGGTACACTACAGTATGCAGCAAATTTTAAATCACCCATAACCGCATTCGAAATTAATGAATTTGGTTTAATTTGTCAATTCGCCTCCTTCCAAAGTGATTTATGCGTTGTTCTAAATTAATAATCAATTTTATTCATACAAAAATCCGTTGCGTAATCGATGTGAGAACCATAAGTTTATTTGATCACTTTAGTCGACCAACGGGAATTTGGAAATTACTCACTGACATCAAAAAAAAATTTTATTTCTTTAGGATTAACAATCAAGAATTTTCACTTTCTAATATTTAGAAAAACTGCCAAAAACTAAAAGAAAAAGCCACTTTTGCGAAGGTGAAAAACTTACATTAGCAGTTCCACTTTCTATATTTTATTTACAACGAATGAAAATAATTATTGAGCATTTAATAGTTTGAAAAAACAAACAAAATTTAAAAATGAAAACAAGAAGACGCATCTTTTTTCTAATTCTTATTCGTGAAGATCATCCATCATAAATGCCGAGTGCTACGCGATTCTTTGAAATAAAACAAGTGGACAGAGGTCAATACGAATTAATTAAAACAAAAACTGTTTGAGGAAGAATGATAGGAAGGGCGCATCAATGTTTATGAAAGGTATAAATAAAAACTGAGGGTCAAATAAAGGGATTAGCATAAACAAGGTTTTATATGCGGATAAAACGACCGTTTAACATAAAAGGACAACAATGAAAAAATGAAAGCACATCTTATGGATTTGATTAATATTTTAACTTCCATCAATGAAAAGATTATTTTTGATCAATCTTCTCTTTCATAAAATAACAAATAGGCGCTTTTTTTATTTATTTGACTTTCTTTGACAGCCTGGAAGAATAAAAAATATAAAAGAAGTTCAATGCTAAACATGATAGAGAAATATATTCTGCCCAGAAATCAACTAAATTTTGAAAAAATTGACAAAAAATTAAGGAAGGTATAAAATATAGAACAAAGAATATAGGTCAAGGTATAAAATATATGAAAAATAACTAAAAAATAAGAAAAAAATGAAAAAGGCTGTTGAAGAGTGAAAAATAAGAAAAACGACACAAAAAGTAAAAATTTAAAAAGTTAATTAAAAATAGGATTAAATAAAAATTGATAAAATATAAACCCTGAAGAAAAATTTAATAGAGAATTATTGACTAGATAACAGAAATAAAAAATAAACTAAAACAAAAGACGAAATTAATTTGGATTTCAAGATTCAAGAATCCGAATTCTCTAACCGAATTTGTTAATCGTATTTAAAGGAAAAAAACAGATAAATGATTGGAAAATCCGAAAAATAGCATTCACATTCTTTCCAATAGCATATATATCGTGTTTTCATGTGGTATAGCCATATGTGGGGGATAGAATGGTTCAGTGGGTTGTTGCTCAATTCTGAGTGCCGATGCTGAGGTTCTCCGCAGGAGTAAACCTGTCTAAAAATTCGGATGGTGCTGGCGACTAATCTGCATTTCTGTCGTCAAGGGACCCTCTGCCATATTTGCCCAGTACAACAAGTCAGCGGAGCGAGTTTAACCAGTAATGGTGAGGGCTCTTAACCAGTATCAACTGCATATACGAGCACTGCTGAGGAAGAGAGATTCTCAAATATTAATATCGTATATCAGATAAGAAATCCCTGAAGATCTTTGAAACTTTTCTAAGACTGCAGTTAAATAAAGAGAAATCTGACTCTAAAAAATAAATTTCGTCGTCGGCCAAGGCAATAACTAATCAATCATAATCAAATCATGTTACAAAATCTTCAAAAATACTGAGAACCAAAAATCGAATCACCTATCGAATTTTCTCCAGAAAATGGAAAAAACAAAAATTAAGATCCCAAAATAAAAAAAAAAGAAGAGGATTCATGTAAGGAATTGGAAGATTCATTAAAATGAATTTTCTTAACAATTTTTTTGCTTTTTTATTTTTCTTTATATTGAATCATAATATTGTAGATAAGGTGAATAACAATAGTTATCATATATTATGCGATAGATTTACCTGACATGTACTATCATTAAAACAGAACCATTGCTCCTGATTTTTAGCATAAGCAATGTAATGGCCAGAAGCCATAGCGCCATAATGATTCTAAAACGATAGTAAAATGGTTTCATAAAATTCAAAAAAATAACGAGAAAGAGCCAAAACGAGTTTACATTTCAGGAAATAAAAAAATAAAGAAAACCTACAGCAATAGCAAAGCAATTATATACAGTACTGCGCGAACTTTCGATATTGGATGACCATTCTTTTAAATCCAAATGCTGAATGGGAAAATCAACGACTTTGCTAGACTTTATCCATGTTTTACTTGATTCCATATAAACGAATCTTTTAAAATGAATTATCTGAAAATTTTGCTGATATTTTAAGATATTTATTAAAATAAAAGTAAAAGTAAGCGAATTTTCATAGAATTTTATTTTCTTTCATAACATTTCGATTATAAAATTTTAGAAAATAAAAATATTATTAAAACATCGCAAAACAAATCAAAAAAACAAACTAATATTTTTGGCAGCCTCCATATGGCTAAATTTTTTATGGTAGGAGTTTTTCTGTTACATTTTTTGCAAAATATCTCTTCATCCAGAAGTTCAGCATTCGTGAAATCGCCCAGACAAGAAGTTAGAGAACACGGTTGATAATGCAGCTGCCAAGCACTTAATACAGAATCATCGTCCCGACATAACTGAAAATTTAAATTATATTTTACTTATTTGCAGTAAAATTTGAAGTGCTTTAAGGATTATTTATATATATATATATAATTATATATAATATACTGTACTATATGAATTTTCGATAGAGGGAGCTTTTGTGGACTCTCATATAAAGACTTTCCAAATATTTTTCGACTGAAATTTAAAAAATAAAAATAAATCAGATCTCACAAATTCTACTGAATGCTGATAACGAAGATACAAGGCAGCAGGTTTCCAATCAATGGCTAAAGCAGTTATATGCTTTGTTATTGGCTGCTCAGTTTGAGGAAGAATGCACCCACGGCAGAAAGCCGACCATGGACATCGATGACACCATTCAAAAGTATCACCCACTATACGAAGATCAAATGGATAGCCACTACGAATATCCTCTCCGCTATAATAAAAAGAATAAAAACTAAATATATTGAAAAATAACCTATTTCACGTAAATCTTCAAAATTACAACAAAATAAAATGATATTACACAATAATAAAATAGAACATACGCATCAATGGCTCGATTTATTCCTCTCGTTCTATTTATGTGTTCTGATGACCCATCAATCAAAAGCCGTGAAACCTGTAGCCAAACTCCTTCATAAAGTTCATTCCCTGTAGTTTTATCCTAAAGGTTTTAAAAACAATTGATCAGAATCAAAAAGTGAAAGAGAAACACTCAAGGGAATGAGGAATATTAGAGAAAATGTGTGGTCGAGAAATTTAGAAATTTTTACAAAAAAATTTCCAAATCCAATAAATTGAAAAAAAAGAAAAATTCTTAATTAAAAAGCAACAAGGAAGACATAATAAATAAAATTTTAATAGAATTAATAAAATTTTAATAAAATTAATCGCATTTAAAAACATATAAAAACAAAAACTTGACCCCAAAATAATTATTATGGCGTGCCAAAGCAAATTCCTCTTTGATGAAACCAAGTCCTTTTTATCTGTGATTTCTCAAAAAGCAGCTATTATAAAAGAGATTTTTTAATGCAAATCACTCGTAATATATTGCAATCAATTAATTTTCCATAAGCAATAAAATGAACAAGTGGAAGTAGATGTATATCTATCTGGTAGTTGTGTTATTGTTGACCTCACCAGCCATAAATCATCTCATTCGGCAAAATCAGCATTATTATGCGAAATTAATTAGTCTGCAAAACTTGCAAATTAAAAACTTACAAATGAAAATGGCAGTACGATTGGAACACCAAATAACTGAATCGTGCAGCCTCGTGATGCACCAAGCAAATACGATTCATTATACTGCTAAAAAGAAAACAGCAATGCTGCAAAAGAATAATGGCCAAGAATAAAAATATGTAAAGTGCAAGATTTAGAAAAAATTAATTACCGTATATCGTGTATTTACAACTGACAATTTTTCGACTGCTGTCTGATAAAAATTAAAGAAAATTTTTACGGTATAATTTAAAATTAATTAATTTTATAATTGAAAATAAATTAATTCTATAATTGAAAAAATAGAAAATTTCCTAGAAATATGAAATTTCTACATAGTGAAAAAAAGCTGAAAAGTGAAAATTTATTATTGTCAACGAACTTTTTCTTAATATATTTTTAATTTCCACTAAAATTAAAAAATGCAATGAAAAAAAAATATTTTTTATAAAATGACAAAAACTCAAACCATTTTACGATGAGCAGCAATAACCGTAGATATTTTTTCGACCTGACTGTTTTCCGAACGAGGTAATTCAAAAGCATAAAGAAGAGAATCGGATGGGTAGACACTAAGCAAATTTTCGTTCGCTTCAATAGCATCGCTGACATTTTTCTAAAATTTTTAATTCAGTTTTTAAATTGAATTATATAAAACAGAAAGTACCAATCCTTTGAATTAATTGAAGCTTTATTTTAAATCTTTCTATAATATATCCACATATTATAAGCCAAGATGAATTTAAAGATTTGTTTTTTGAATATTTTGGAAAAATTTTTTAGACGAAAAAATAAAAGGTTAAACAGAACTATAAGTTGTCCTGTACGGTTCAGACATAGTATATTCAAAGAATCTGCAGGTAATGATGAACTTTTTGCCAATTCTTGCTTTAAATCGCTGATTTTTGATTCAGAATTCAAACGATACCCATACCTTTTTGGAATACATCCATCACGCTTCACCACTAAATTTCAAAATTTGAAACTTAAAATTTATTTATTTAGAATGAAATGAAATTTGACAACAATGTTTGTCCCAAAAATATTTTGGAGATTAGCGAAGCGATTTTAACATACAATAGTTCAATTTCAATTGATCTAGTCTGGAAAAGTATAAGGGAAATAAAGTAAAGTAAAAAAATAGAACTGAAAAGGAAGTAAAATAAAGATAGAATAAAATAACATAAAATAACATCAAGGTAGTAAATAAAATATATACAAATAAAATAAAAAATTATTAAAAATTTAATCAAGATCTATTGCTTTAAACTTATTATAAATTAAACTTATATCATAAATTTGACCGAATTAAAAAAATAAGATAATAAAGAATAAAACAGAAAAACAAACCAACAACGGGAATAAGCAATAAATTTTCTATTGGAATCGGCAGTTGCAGGCACGTAAATGCATCAAACCTGAAATTAGCCAATACTTTGAAATCCCTTGATAAAAACGAATCAAGCCAAAGAACTAAGATTAAATGAATTAAGATCATTTAAATTTCTTTATGTGTCTAAATTTAAAGCATGAAAAAAGCATCCACCTGCTTGATACAGTTTTGCAGATTTGACAAGTCAAAGAAGATCGTAACTGACCGGAAAATAAATGAGAAATAATGCTTTTCTCTCTCGCCAAATATGCCTCCCATGCCTGAATATTAAATAGATTAAACAATAATGTTATTTCATTACGTTAAAAAGCTGGAAAACTGGAAGAAATTTCACCCCACTTATTGATCTTCAAATTAAATTTAAATATGGGCTTTAATAACTCACATTTTAAGAACAGATTCAGGAATAAAATCTAAAAATAACATAATATTGTAAATTTACTTCATTAGCAACAACTGAATCAGGACGCCCATCACTATCTTTAACTACGACGTAAGGTTTTGACTGAACAGCATTTAAATCCTCATGCAAAAGATCGAGTAGTATCGCAATAAACTCCTGACAATCATGTTGACATCGCTCAGTGAATATACCAGACGACTTGGCATAGATCGCTCGCTGCAAAAGCTTTTAATATATGAAACATAATAAACTCATTTTACATTAGAAAATGTTTATTGCTTAGGCTGCCTATAATTTTGAGCCTATTAAGTGCCTGTAAGTCAAGGGATCGTACTTGATGGCTTGATGGAAGCATCGCTCTCAGGCAAAAACTCATCATTAATAAGTAGCAACAAACTGTGAACGTTAACCACATATTCACTATTTGAAAACTTAATCCGCAAACGCAAATAAAAAAACCTACTTCATTGGGTAATTAAAGGTAAAAATAGTAAAAAAAGTATTTTCGTACTCTTAATTTAATTGGAGCAATATTCCTCTTCTTACCCGACCACAATTCTTCAATGATTTCGCCATATTCAAGGGCCAAGCTTCCTTTATCACTTTTATTTAGCCTACAATAATGCATTATCACATTTTATCGAATCAATGAGAAATGAAAGCAAAAAACAAAAGCAAGAAGAATAAAAGCAAAAAACAAAAAAAAACTTTTTTAAAACATCTTTATGCATTCCATTGAGAAAATATTCAGTTAAGGGCCTAGTGTTACTCAAGCACTGTAAACCACTGTTCATATAACAAGTGTTGCCCATGTTGTACAAGCCGGTTACTCCTTTTTTATATTTTAATTCTTCATTATCATTTATATCCACGTCTCCATTAGATAATTCCAAACGACAAACTTCTTCTGGCCAACTCATATCAGTATTTCGTAATTCTAAAAGAACCTGCAATCCATTCATTGAAACAAATACTTAAGAAATTTTAAAGCCAAATGGAATTCAAGAATTTATAAAGAAATTAAGGAATCCAGAAAATTTTGTCCAGTGCACCCATCGTATTTAATAAATATTGAAATATTGATTTAATTCATTTTTGTTAATTTTCAAAAATTTTCATAAAATATGGGTACCTGTGCAGTATTTACAATATTGAGATCAAATAACGTAAGCGCATCGTTCTGAAGTAATTTTCGCGTAATTTTACCATCAATTTCCATCAGCCAAAGGCGCACAGAATCACTATCACTAATACGCAGTTGTTGTATTAAAAGATCAAGTAATTCAGCTACAGTTGACACTCTAGATAATGATACTAAACACCAAGGCAACTGACGGAGCGATGAATCTTTATTCCATTCTAAACTTTATTCAAATTATTTTTGGATATGAACTGAAATTTTCGATAAAATAAAAATTTTCTTCTTCTAACAACTCTCACCATTACTGGTTAAGCTGGCTCTAACGACTACAAGGGTAAGATGCTTCCAAGCGGCGCGGTCTGATGCTATCATCGACAGTAATAGAAGCCATTCCCTTTTCCATCGTCTAAATCCATATATTGCTGGCCCATCTATACGTACAAAATCTTTTCTGATCCTATCAGTGCATGTCTCGATTGGCCAATCTCGTTTTTGACACTACCAATTACAGGGTGACGAAATATGTGTCAACTCCTATGGTGGGCGACGAAGATCGCGACCTTCCAGCGAAAGTGACGCTCTGTGATAGTATTGCAAGTGATATTTGAACGAAAGTGGATGAGATCACGTGAGATTTTATCCACTTGGCGAGCCCGTAAAATGTACTTTAGATATGAGTAGTCAAAGGCAGACAACCTCTTAAAATCCTCCGCTCTCATTGGCCATGTTTCTCAGGCCATATAGCAAGATCGAACGAATCGGCTATAGATACAGACTTTATTTTTTATGGTGATCTCGCGACAGCTGCATTTTTAGCTGCCGTTATACTTGTTGGAATTTCACTGTCCATTTGGTATTAGAGTGGACCCAAGGTATTTAAAATCGGGTACTTCCTCAATCGGCAATGAGTTTATAAAAAGAGGCATTTTATCAGCTTCTTATAACATGAGACGAAAAAGATTTTCGTTTTATTTGCAATAACTCTGAGATTCTCGCTGCAGTTTTTTGACATTAATTAGCATCATTTGCATTTCATCAACTATCAGCAAATAACTATCAGCAAACTATACATCATCAGCGTATTCAAGATTGTGAAACGATGCTCTGGAATGATTTGGACACCTCTTAAATGCCGACAAGCGATGCCCATTTAAGGAAAAGGACGCAGCCTTGACAGACACCATTTCTTATTTCGAAGGAGTCTATCAGTTTCTCATATACACGAACCTGTGTCAGAGTATGCTGATAAAATGCCTTTATGAGCCGAATGATCTTTTCTGGGACATCGTCACATTCCATCACTTTCCACAGTATCACATTGATTGTTCTATCAATCGAATCGAATTCAGCTGCAAAATCGATAAAACAAGTGATGGTGGGTTGCTGGTATTTGAAGCGATTTGTTCCAATTCCCTTTTAATGTGAATATCTGGTTAGCACAATAGCGTCGCGGTCTAGTTTTAATCTAGTTTGATTAGGGCGCACCTTGCTGTCATGTACTGCTATAAGTCTATTGAGTAAAAGGAAAGCAAAGAATTTAAAATAGGATATTGCCTAAATTTTATGTGTTGTATTATTGTATTATGTAAACTCATATTATGGTAAAATGAAAAAAAAAATATTTGAGAAAAAATGATTGAAAAACAAACCAAGCGCAGATTGAAGCCATCCACCAGATGCAGTACCATGGCGTAAAATAAGTAAAGATGGAGGGTAAAGCTCAATTACAGATTTATTTGGGGTGGATGAAAAAGGTTCCACATAAAGTAGTGGAATTACTCGACGAGGCAATGATATTCCTTCATGTACGGCGCTCCCATGCCAACGCAAAAGCGCTCGCCATAGACAAGGAGGTAATTTTTCATAATCCTTTCCTTCAGTAAGACCTATAATGAGTGGAGCACCTTCTTTCGACAAAGATGGCACCTGTAAATAATCGCATATTTCAATCAGAAAATCAAAATATAAAATAAAAGCAATAATATGTTTCCAAAAAAATAAATGAATATTGCAAATCATTATAAGAAAACACAAATTTTGTTCAGTAAACGATTTAAAAAATGAAAAAAAATTCCACAGAAATTCTTGTACTCAGGAAAAAATAAATTATGCAAAAAAAGTAAATATTAAATACTGAAATGTTAAAATAAATTGCAGAACCTTTGCAGACCAATCATTCTTCAATTTTGAAGCAATTATAGTAGAATTGGTTATGGGTGGTACAACTGTATCGGATTTGAGACAGAACTGCCACTTTTTCCACCATTCCGACGAAATTATGTTCCATTCAGTAAATGAATCCAATTCGATTCGGCTTTTGAATTCGCTGGAAATTATTAGAAAACACTGAAATATAACGAGATTTGAGAATTCTGCCATTTATCTTTATGCTGATAATTGTAAAATTTATTATTCTCAAGGTGGATCGAATAACCTACCTCCACTGCAGGATGACCTCAACAATAACAAATTGGCTATATGGCAGACAAATTACTTTTTTTTCAAAAATGTAGCGTTCAACAAAGAAATTCTAAAAGATTTAATCTTCTTATCTTTTTATTAATGGTAATAGTCAGAAGAATCATATATGCTATCTTGGAATGATTATGGATGAAAATATCGATTTCGACTTTCACTGCTGAAATCCTCAAAACCATGGCAAAAAAATCCTCAAAGATACTAAACTTTATTTTTCGTTTGTTTATGAACAAAACTGAAGGTTTTCTTATCAAAATGTAAAAAGCGCATACATTCATTCGGCTTCTTCTTGACTACAATACTACCTGTTACTCCGTGAGATTATTAATTAAGTAAAATTAAGTAAAATAATTAATATGAATATGAATATGAATATAATTTTAAATATAAATATAAAAGACAATTTCAACAATCAACAATCAACCTGGATTCCCTCTCAATTCGTCGAAATAAACAAGATTTAATTAACACTTATAAAATTCTGTATGGTTATGTTAAACTAGATTGTTCAAAATACTATAATTACAGGCTAAATTTGAATCCAACAAGAACTAATGGGCTAAAATGACTAAAACCTATGTGTAAAACTAAACTAAGGACTCATGACTTATTTATTCGTACTATTAATTACTGGAATAATTTATCGAACGATGTAGCTTGTGCGTCATCCTTAGCTATCTTTTAAAAAGATTTATATTAATTAATTAAAAAGTTCACATCATGCAAGAAATGTGAAATCTCGATTTTTACCATCTGATTATATATTGTACAGTTACTTCAAATTGTATAAATTATACTATTTTGTACTTTCCTCTTTATTTGCTCTGTAAATTGTTATTTTGTCATATTTTCTTTTTCTTTTGTTATTATCAATTTTTATTATTTCAACTATTGTTATTAATACAAGCACTTGTTTCTGACCCTGCTTGGCTGGTTTTCAATAAATAGAAAAATATTAATAAAAAAAATGAAGCAATAATTACCTTACAATCCTCAGTTCAGTTGATGCAGAATTAGGACGCAGTCCAAAACAAATATGTCCAATCTAAACTAAAATGTCTAATTAGAGAATTAAATTATTACTGATACTTTATGATGATTAATAATTATTTTTTTATGCGATTTCTATTTAAACCATTTAAAAAATTTTCTGGAACATAAAAAATATAAAAGAAATATACATGCCTGAATAACTTTATTAAGCAGATTCTCAATGCTTGAAATATCGTTGGCCCAACAAACAAAATCCGCCAGTAAAGCTCGACCATCCTTATCGATGTGTATTGTGCGTGCAGTTTCGCTCCAAAATACGAGAAAATGTTAAGTTGTAATAATCAGGATTTATTCACAAAAGTCGCTATTTCTCTCAAAACTAACAATGAAAAGTTGATCATAGAGGAGGTCAATATCTTGCGACGTCAAATATCCATCGCTATCTGAATCAAACATTTGGGCAACAACTGAAATAAAATAAAAAAGTTTAGTTTTAATGAATCTTATGAAAAACATTTATCTTACCATGCCACAGAATTCTTATTCAGAAAAATTAAGAAAAGATGGTAAATCGTAATTTGTAGAGGACAAAAAATAAATAAGAAAATTTATTTACAATTTAACTGAGCCATGTGAGGCCCTCGGCATGAAGCAGAAAGACCACAGACAAGTTCTTTGAAATCGATTAAATTATCGCCATTACCATCGAAGGCACGGAAAAGGCTATCAATAAAATAATTTTCAATTGCACCAGAAACCAATGAATTGAAACCATTGCGAGTTAATTTACATAATTTAGTGTCTGTAATCGAACCAAACACTTTTTCTAATTCCTCTACTTCACGTTCATCGACTAAAAGATAATTTTTCGATAAAGATAAGTATTACGCAAAAAAAAATCTCAATGACTCGACAGATCGATAAAAAAAGAAGATTGAAATTTGCCAATCAGTAAAGAAAAAGAAAGATAAAATACCATAAAATTATAAAAGAACATACGGTGAGTTACACCAGCCAAAACCTGATAAAAATTATAATGGATTTCGAAAAGATGTGAAGTTAGTTCGGGAGGATTATCAATCCAATCTTCAATTCCTGGTTCATTCTTCAAAAATTCTAAAAGATGATATGAAATTTTGTATTTTTTTACGTTTAAGCTATTTAACATGTTCCCTATTAACTTCAATTAATGTTTTATCACAATTAGCATTTTTTTGAATTTTAACTTGAATTTTTGAATTTCCAATTAATGAAAATTAATAAAATTTTAACAAATTAATATTTTATTTTATTTCAATATCATACCTAATCTAATATCCGTACTAGCCTTTGTAAGAATGACAATACCAATAACAAATGACTGAAATGATATACGACTTTTACCCTGACAAAATTTTGAATAAATAAGTGTACGAATGAAGGGTGGAATTGAATGATGACACAGAACTTCTGTGAAAAATTCATCCTCATTGATGGATTCTCGACCATTCCAAGCAGTTTCCAATCGTTTCAGTTCATCACTTGTCACTATACAAAATAGAATTTTAAGCAAATTTTAAGAAAAATAAAAAAACAAAGGAACAAATGCAATAAAGTAGATAGATACTCTTTGAAAAATAACGGAATATTATTATAAAAATAAAAAACTAGTTTCTTTCATTTCTTTTTTGTTCCTTATTTGCCTTTTCCTTTATTTTTATCCTTATTGCTTGTTTTTAAAAAGTAATGGATGTTTCGATATATTCACAAATAAACAATTTTTATCGGTAATAAAAACTATCTTTAAATATTTCTATTCTTATATATCACCTTGTAATTTTTTCTAGCGTTGATAATATTATTGAGAAATCGTATACAAAAAATGATATAAGTGAAAGACAACAGTTCACAAAACCAAAAATTTACAATTTTAAAAATAAAAAAAGAATTAAAAAAAAATTAAAGAAATTAAAGAAAACAAAAAAGATCATTCATAAAAAAGCAGAAACGATAAAAGTGAAAATAAAAATAAATAGAAAAAACAAAAATAAATAAAAAAACAAACATAACGATTTTGCATCTTCATAACTTAGTAAAATGTGATTTTCATGGATAAGTGACGATTCTCGATTACCCATTTATTTTGCTTTCATGGAAAACATTATTCAAGTAATTTAGCAATTCAGATTAATTAATCTGGTATAATTTAGTTAATCAAACCTGAAATATTTTAAAAAATCATGTTTAAAGACGATGAAAATGTTTTTTTAAGAGTTAAAAAGTTTATTACCTAAAAAAGAAATATAAAGTTAGATTTAAGAAAAAAAAACAATGAAATTGACAGAATGAGAACAATGAACAAAAATAACTTTTATAAATGTTCAAATCAAACAATATGACTTTGCGATTAACCATATATCATTGAAGTGAGCATTTGCCAATATATCTAAAATATCATCGCATTAAATTAAATTTTTAAATTTTGCTAAAATTTCCACACTAATCAAAATCTAACACATTCTTATCATTTTAATAACACGCTTATTTAATATTTAATAAAATAATAAAGACAAATCATAATAATAATCAAGAATATAAAAAAAATTTCATAAGTATATCGAATGGTGAAATGTCGAATGGAGCTCGCAGCTCACTTGCACTTTTATTGCCGAATGTAAGATATTTAATAGCGCAATAATAATAATAAAAATAATAATAATAACAATAATAATAATAATAATAAGAGATGGTAAGCAGCAACTATTTATTTACTTATAAATTAAAAACCACTGAACAAAAAATACTTAAAATGCTTAAAAATCCTTGAATCTGAGTGGCTCCTAAATCCGACAAAACCTAAAACAAGGATGTCTACAACATAAATTAACAAAACAGCAAGAAATTCGATCGGACAACAAACAACAAACAAGGATGTAAAGAGAAAAATTTAAAAACAATCGTTGTGAGACCCATTCCAGTTTCAAGTTTGCCATTTGCACTTGCTAAGATATTAAAGGTGCGCGTAGCAGCACCGAAATTCCATCTTTAATAACAAGGCTAACTCGCTTGGACACATGGTGCTTTCAAATTTTCGACTTGGCGTACAGAAGGTGTGGCGAAGAGTCGCACGAGATGTGGGAGCGAGCAGTCGGCCACTTCGCAGAGCATTGCTTATGATTTGCGCAATATCGGCCATGAATTCTGTTTTTTAATTTAATTGGTTTCGAATTATTGAAATTATTAATTATTTTTGTTAAATTAAACAATTGATAAACAATTTTTCTATGCAAATTTTTCGCCATCGTTAATTTAGCAATTGAACAATTTTTTAAAAGTACTTAAGTGGTTAGCGCACATCACTTCTGGTTGGACGAGCTTCTCTGGCCGTTAATACGTCAGAAACAATATACAGAAGTGCAAATGGATCGCCAGCGACATGGTTTTTTAATGACGAAGAGCTTTCTCCTGAAAGGAGCAGAAAGCGAATCTTTACACGATAATCTTAATTATTAATAATTCGGCTACTCTCTCCCTTAATGATTTTCTAATAATTTTTCATGAATGTGAATAAATTTGCTCTATGACGGTTGTGCCGAAAATGTGCTCTGCTCATTAATCAATGAGTTAATAAGAAATATTTATCTTTTGGTTATATTATTATCTTATAATTTTATTTATTATTATTACGCAATATACCATTATCATTACATAATAGTATTATCTTCTTCTGCGAATCTGATAAGTTTTTTTTTCTTAAAATTTTTATTCTACCAATTATCTTCAAATTTTTTTTTTTTAAATATTATCTCTATTTTTCGTCTTTGATAGGAGTCAACCTGTCATAGTGTAAAAAATCTGGGTGGAGAAGATCCACCTGTACCTCTATCCTTAAATGATCCTATGGTGAAGGAATCAGTCTCTTTGACGCGACGTCTTGTCTTCCGACGCGTATAATAGTTCTGATCCGATGGTACATGCGATAAATATACGTTCCGGGTGTAATAATTAATAATAATAATTAAATTCCAAGGCTTAAACATAAAATTTGATCGCGAATCGAAATAAATACTTAAAACTCGCCAATGGAGGAGAGAACTTATTCGAGAAGTTTCTAGGCGAAGTGCTGGTTATGGCTACTTGGAACGTCAGAACGTTTATGGATGTTGCAATCCAGTCATCACTGTCCACACTCCCTCTAAATGGCGCATGGATGTAGTTTGTCGGAGGTCCTTCCTCTTGTCGGCTCTCTAGCAATTATTAAAATTAACCTGGTTCCCAGCAAAGATATTGGCTATATCATTGTGGTGTCACGGATAATTTTGAGGCGAAATGGCGTAGCGATTATTATGTCTGAAAAGGTTCGATTTGCTTTGATTGAGTGGAAGCCAGTATGGAAGCCTACGTGAGTTTCAAGGGAAAGTTCTGTAATGTTTCGGTCATCAGTGTATACGCTCCAACTTTATGCGCAAATGATCGCGATAAGAATAATTTATATGCGGAGCTTCAATATGATAGGTTCTGTACGGAGAGATGACATTGTCATGATCGGGTGAGAATGGAATGCGCACGTGGATCATGATGCCCTTACTATGAATTCGGTAATTGGCAAATATAGCATCGAGGCCTAGTGCGCCAATAGAGAACGTTTTTCTTCGTTTTGCCGAACAGTATGAAATCAGCATGAAATCTTCGTTACTAATGTTTTCGGCATCCGAGAAAACATCTAGTTACATGGAATTTTCCGGATAAGCAATATTGCAATCAGATTGACTATATATTGATCAGTCACCGCTGCAAGAGTTCTGTACTTGTCGTTCTTATCGGCGCACTGAAACTGGTAACCGTATTGGATCAGACCATGTTATGGTTCGAGCCAAGATTCGTATAAAACTGATAAGTCCTAAGGAACACCGTATCCCAAGATCTTTCAACTATCTCAAATTAAAAGATCCGGGAATAATAAAAGCATTTCAAACCGTATTATTGAAACATTTCAATGAAATGAATATCAATGACATCTCGGAAACGGCGGATGAATATTGGTCTACTAAAGATGTGCCTACGAAAATCAGCCACTTCCATGCTAGAGTATACTAGTAGGAAATGTGCTGGTTGGATGTCGGGAGCAACTATCTAGTTGTCTGAGAAAGTTGTCGCAGCTCGAATATCACGAGATCCTGACTATCGGGTGCTTTGAAAAATTATAATGACAGCAACATGGCTGGGAAATCGCTATTGGAGCGACATGACCAGAGAATGAAAGCGGCGGCTCGGATAGGTGATAATAGGAAACAATCTCGCCTTTTTCACAAAACAACTATAATTCGAGGAAGGATTAATGAAATGATACAGGATATTAATGAGGCATCTGTTAAAGCAATTAGGGACCTTATAAGATGGAAAAAGTTGTTTAAGGCCAAACTTAACCACAATCCGCCAGCTATTTACTTAGATATAGCTGATTCGCTCGTCGAGCCATACGTTTGTAACTGCCAACAGAAGAGGAAATAATCTCTGTATTCCATAAGTTTAAAGCCAATAAAACTTCCGAAGATGGTCCTCAACTCTTCAAATTTTACCCATCACGTTCATAACTCACCTTTAACAAATATACTCTCTGGTATGGCAAAAGAAATAATACCAGTAGACTAGAGTAAAGCAATTCTGCTTCCAATTCCAAAGAAAGATGGTAGGACGTTCTGCGACATTTACCGAGGAATGAGCCTACTGGATATCTCCGGACAAATTTCCCCTTCCCTTCTGCTAAATAGGCAACACGAGATAGCAGAATGCGTTCTAATTAAGCTGGATTCAGACCGGAACCGGTTGTGCTGACCAGATATTTACGCTAAGAAGGGTTCTGGAACATCGCTTCAAATACCAGCATCCCACCTTCACTTGCTTTATCGATTTTGCAGATGCCTTCGATTCGCTTAATAGAGCAGCGCTCTGGAAAGTGATGAATGTGACAGTGTCCCAGAGATCATTTGGTCTTTATGAAGGCATTTTATAAAGGCATTTACCTTGAATACGCTGATGTAGTCCTTTTTGCAGAAGTATAATAATTGCTGAAGTATTATAATCAAATGCAAACAATGTGTGAACTGCAACAAGAATTGGGCTCAAAATCAATGTGAATGAAATGAAAGTATTTTTATTTTTTATCCAAGATGCTGATAAAATATCTGCTTTTATCAATTCATTGCCTGCTAAGGAAATGTCCAACTTTAAATACGCTGGATCCACTCTAATCCCAAATGGTCAGGCAAAGGATGAAATTGTAACTCGGATAACGACGGCTGGAAATATGTTTTTCCGATTGATGAAATCTTTATGGAACCGTCGCGAAATCACCATAAAGACGAAAATTCGCATCCATATAGCCGCAGTTTACTCGACCTTGCTATTTGCATGCGAGTTATGGCCAATGAGAGTGGGAGATATTAAGAAGCCAAGCCATTAGCATTCGTGTCTAAGATACATTTTACAGATTTATTGAGAGGATAAAATTGCAATTAATTTTATCCAAATTTTCGCCTCAAATACTACCTGTATTAATAATGTTATCACAGTGTGCGTTGCCTTCGCTAGTTAGGACACGTTTTCCATCGTCCACCACAGGAACTGACGCACGCTATTTGCCAAACTCTATGATGTCAAAAGCGAGGTGGGCCAATCGAGACATGGACTGATATAGTCAGAAAAGATTTTGGACGTATAGGAGGACCAGCGTTATATGCATTTATACGATGGAAAAAGAAATGGGTTCTATTACTATAAGTGATGGCGTCGGACCGAGCAGATTGGAGACGTTTTACCTTTGTAATCGTTCGAGCCAGCCTACAAAGAATTTTAAATATATTTAACTTAATTCGAATCCAAATTTTTGCGTGGGAAATCATAAGACCAGTTGTACGAAATTACATAATTTTTTCTGATTATATTCACCGAAATTTTGATAATAAATTTTAAAGTTTCATAGTTAAAAATTATAATTGAATGAAAGAAAAAGCGCATTAAAATCCGCAAATATTTCTTTATCATTAGTTATTAGCAACAATTTAGCTTGATTTTTAAAACAGTGTAAAATATAAAATTACATAAATTACATAATATATCTTCGACACAAATTTATCGATTAAAGATTAAATATTTTAATTCAATCAAATATATATTCAAAAAAAAACGTTTTGAACGGGGGATGTTCCGATTAAACTGCAAAAAATAAGAAATAAATCGAGAAATCATTATTTAACCTATTTAAGAAAAATGGAACGACTCACTTAAAAACGAAAATAAAATTAATTCGCGTCAAAAACCTCTTTAATTCTCGGAAGGGCTAAGACTTTAATCGCGCATTTTTCATTTCAGTAAGAAAGAATGGTTGAGCGGTATGTTCCTACGATACATGCGTCATAGGTATGTCCCTATCCATTAAGCAGAAATAAATCTGTCACAAAAAGGGAGATCCAGAGGTGTTGCTAGGATTTTGCCCCTGATCCCGAAGTGAATTCATCAAATTCATCAGAAAGAATCGGTCCTATAACAGAATATTATATTTTTTCCTAAAATATACTGTTTCAGCTATATTCGCTTACAAATTAACAAATTTTGAGGATAACTAACTATAAAATTTTTGCAAATTGCTTAGTTAACGTATTTTTAGTAAGCATTTATTTGGTTAGAGTGTATAAAATAATTGAAATTTTATCGTCGAAAGAATATTTTGGTTAGAAATAATCGGGTAAAATGGGCCAACAGATCGTCCGATAAATCTATTTTCTCTTTTCGTTCTGATTTAAAATCCTTCAAAATGGAACATCAGATTTCATCGATTTCCTTCATTAATTTTGCATGTACTACTATTATTATTACTCGTCTTATTAATGCTGATACACCAAGTTTTGCGCAGACTACATTTGATCTCAGTCCCGATCTGCCTATTGAATCTGTCATTGATTCAGCTCCAGAATATCATGAATTCAATTCTGATCACCGCAACAATTCCATAGGTTCACCATCATCTTTATCTCACTTGGAACAACCAACTTACTCGCTTCATACTCGTAAGAATGATGCAAAATCTCAGGCTCTGTTCTATAAACAATTTCCAGCTTCACGGACACCTTTACCATATGCGGTATTTCTTACACCCCTACCACATCATGTATTTTCTTCTACTATAGCTCCTTATCACACTACTCTGTCACGACTTTCATTTGTTGCATCATCTCCATATCCTCCATTTTTCATGCTTCCACAGTATCCTGTGTTTTCATCTACTTTTACATTTGTTACTCCCCGTATTCCTCAAAATACTCACAAACAACGTTTCTCTCCACCTGCATATCATGCAAAAATTTATTCTTCGCAGATACGAATACCACTGGCTAAAAAAGTGCCTGCATCTTCATATAGCCGGCATAGTAATTCTCCTTCATTATGGTTTAACGATTATTACGATATTTCAAGTTGGTTTAGTTCACCTCCGATTTCTTTTGAAAAATTTCAATATGTGATAAATATTTTTTATTTATTTTTATTTAATATTTTTACTAGAAATTTAAATGAATATTTTCTATTAGCAATCTACAAGAATTTCTTCACTTTTTTTTTCACCTGAATTATTTTACTAGCATCTGATTTTGATTTTTTACTAGCATCTATAATTTTTTGCCAGGTTTAATTGATAAATTTCGCAAATAAAAATTTTCAAACGTTTTAGAATGAACTATGGCCGTTAGCTTGAGGAACGAATTGCTCTTAGGTATAGTGCCACAACAAAAAGCATCTTTGAAAGAACCAGATAAAAAATCCTTATTTGCACCTTTTTTTGCCATTAAAAAAGGATATTGAATATCTTTTATTCAACTATTGATAATTGATAACTGATAACTGATTTTTAGTTTTTTTATTATATAAACATAAACTTATTCAATTATCAATTGCTTTCAGATTGCTCGAGGAATTATCAATGGATTTCATTGGAATTCAGGAAAAAATTTCCAAAAAGTACGACTCGAAGTGGAAAGGATCAAAATTTCTCTGAAATTCTACGAAAGAGTCTCGAGAATTGTGAGAAAAAAACAAAATATGATCATTGGGAAAAAATTTCTAGTGTTATACCAAAAATCAAATTATCTTACAGGTAAAATTAATTGTTGTGCTAAGTTTAGCATGGAAAATTCAATGGAATTTCGGATATGTAAAACTATTCTTAATAAAAAATATTTCGATCATTTTTATAAAATGGCAATTTCTGGAAACGAACATTTCTTTCGGGATTTTTTTTTGATGAAATTTTAAAAATCGCTTTTTTCTCTTTTGTTCGACATTTCGACGATACGACCTTTGAATCTTGCTTTGATCGTCATTTTTGTCAATTTTCCTTTTACTATTAGATCATTCCGAAAATCCGTTTAATTCACTTATATATTTCGTTCATAGAAAATTAGTAATTTTCAAACAAAATTTTCAAAATAGCATTATAATCAACACAGCTTTAGGAGAGTGATACATAAGCGTTTGCCTAAAAGTTCGTCTTTTTGGAATCAATGAATTTTCTGGAAAGTGGTTTCTAGATCTTCCTGTTTTTAAAATTGTTTCACTCTAAGGAAGTTGTCGAGAGATCGGAAGAAATAAAAGTCTGTTCACGAAGGGTATTATACTAGAAATCAAACTATCTTCTGTGGAATAGAATGTGTGGAATATATCGTATAAAAGAGCACTTCAAAATTCAGTTCGGCAAAAAGTGATTCATTCGACAAATGGTTTAGCAATTTCCTGCGAAATAATATGGGCTTTTACTGGCCAGTGCTGTGTAGAAATTATAATGGATCGATCCAGCAACATACGATGACAATTTTCCTTCTGGCGGAAAATAAATTTTGATATGAATTGACATGATTCGCCATTGTCCAGTTATTGCTGCATTTTTTTCCTGTTGTTGCACGATATACTTTTTATCAAAAAGAAATTTTATCAAAAAGAAATCTTTGAAGAATCAACTTATGCTCATGTCAATTCATGGAGTATCCATTTGTTATTTTTTGTTCTTCCCAATAGTATGTGAGTTTGCAGATAATAATATTCCATACGGAACGAGGTGAAATTCTGAGCACCTGAGTTAAACCTCGTTCTAGGATCAGCCTCTACTATTTCCCTCAGGAATTTTGTTTATGGAACTTGAGGAACATCCTCAACATCCTTAATGAGGGGAGATTTAAACTTTGTGAAGCCTTGTTCATTTTTAGAGAGCATAGTCACCAAAAATTGTTTATATGTTATGAACTGCTCGAGAGGCACCATAGCTCGAAAATTAGGCCGTTTTGTGTCAAATTCGACTACGCCTATATTACGCAAAAAAAAGATCACTTATCACTTATTTCTGCTGCAATAAAAACAGATCATAGCGAGCAAAGCAACATATGATTTCAGCCAAAGTGGTAAAGCAAGAAAATTATGAGTCACAAATCTAGGGCATATAAAATTATTGCGTGAATTTTTTAAATGTCCTAATATATTAAGTCTTATCTTATGGAGTTATGAATATGAATAAGATAATCATCCTTTATCTTCTTTTGCAAAAATTTAATGTCGTTGTTTTTTTGTAATAATGGGACTGTAATGTGAGAAGCACCCATCAGACATTTGGCAACATCAGTTTTTTCGTCAATCTGATTTATTAAATAAAAATTGATATTTTGATACGACCATAACATATATTATTCGAGAGAATGAAAGAATCGTTATAATATTTATGCGTTATAATGATCGTAAATGAAAATCGGAAATCTGGAGTTCAAAAAAGTTGATTTGAGGTAAGTGGTACTTTCGAGAGAGTTCCATCCGATCAGCTATGTGGATTAGCGATGCTCCAACTAATGAAAGATTCGGAAGATTCCATTCTTATTTAAGGAAATCTTCACACTATTGCATCACTCGACCCCCCAAATAATATGAAATTTTTTAATTAAATGCAAATTTCAGTGATAGAGAGGATTGTCGAAATGGTTTAGTACAAGAAAAGATTGCTTGCATAAATCTCTTCTCATACAGTTGTCAATTTATCGTCGAAAAAATCAAATTTCGCCTTGTTCCAACGCGTAAAATAATTCAAGAAATACGTTTAATAGAAGACGGAGAGGAGAAATGTCAAAAAGCTATTCGAATTGCCAAAAAGAAACGTCTTTTGCTTTTTAATTGAGAGACGTTCTATTATTTCTGTTAAAATTAAAATTTTAACTTAAAATTTTCTTCATTTTATTGGAAATTGAAGTGTAAATTTTTTATTATTAAAAAAGTTTTTATTGGTGAAAAAGAATAATTTATTACTAACCAATAAATAACAATTTTATTGCTAATAAATTTTATAAAATGCTAAATTTTAAAAATACAAATGATAAATTCTCCTAACAAATTATAAAAACTTTTATGTCAATATTTACTGTTCTATTATTTAACATTGTTGGAACTATATTTGGAATGTTTTGCTCCTTTTCCTATAAAATTTCCGAAATTTACATTTAGTCATAATTCACAAGAAAAATAAAGGATTATAGGAGTATTCCATGAATGAAATTTATTGGATAGAAAAACCGTTTTGAAAGCTTTTTTTTTATTATTTTTAATTTTAATATAGAGAACCGTATAATCGATAATAACAAGACATTGTGCGCAGAGTTGAGCATGTATGGATCTTATCGCCATCATTATTTCATGAAATGGAAACCATCTAAATATATCCACTAATCATGTCAAAATAAAAATCCATTACGTTAAGACCAATCTTTCGAGTGGATGAAAATCAAATTTTCCTGTTAAGGGATAGGGCCTCTCCCTCCGATAGACAAATTCAGATCTCCAATGACTCCAATGACTCATGGCAAAAATTTTTAATTATACTAACGGCCAGCGAGCGTAACCGGAGGAGAAGAAAACTATGTGGATTTTGCTTTCGATCGCCGTAGTCCAGTGATCTATATTTTTCATAGAAATCATTTTAGAAGGTCAAGAAGGTAAAACTATTTTTATAATAATGCTAAAGCATTGTTATTTTTTCCCTTAATATTAAGCCAGTTAAAGAGATTTATAAAAATGCAAAATTATCCTCATTAAATTTTTTTTCTTTCAATTTTTTTGATCTATTTCCATTAAAAATATTATCAGTTTTACTTCTCAAGTGCGGTGTATGGAATGGTTATAACCTACAAATTTTCTAATTCTTGGCCTCATATTTAGAAGGCGTACAAATGAAGATCTTTGTTGCAACTAAGATAATAACCAAAGTGAAAAGCGAGCACCAACGATTCTAACTAGTGGAAGCATTCACAAAAGTGAACCCCACAAATGTACCGAATTTTTTAGTCTATAAAACTTATTATTATTTTCGAATAATTTTGAAAACTGCCTTTTAGATTTTTATTTTTATCTTTGCTATAGGGTAAGAGTAAGGGTAGTGAATGAACAATGGTTTAAATTACCGTTTTGAGAAGAAAGCTGCAACGAGAGTAAACTTTTAAAATAAATTAAAATAAATTCAGCTGATGATCCGTCCAAATTTCTACTGCCAAGCTCTTTGGCGAAAATTTTTAACGATACGAACATTCAGCGGAGCTAGCCTAATCAGAAACGGTCCACCACATACTTTTTTATCACCATTTGCTGTTCATCCTGTTATTTTTTCTTTACTTCAATTCTTTTATTACATCGTACTGTTGTTGGTATTACCGGATTTCATTTTTTTTACTGTTGTATCCTTTTTTTAACAAACATTTTATGAGCCATAAATTGTTGAATGAATGTCGTTTTAGAACTTTATTAAACCTTATTGAGCAAGAAGCATACTAATTTATGGATATATTCTCTCCATCAATCCATGAATATCTGATATAAAAAAAGAAATATTTCGAGTGGCCTTTTAATAATCGGCAAACATTCAAATCAGTTCAATTGAAATCATGAATTAAACCAATTTTACCAAAAAGAAACAAATAAAGCACTAAAGAAAGCTATCGGTTATTGGTTTTGCAAACCCATGAATACCTCCTTATTTTTACCGAAACTAAAGAAATTTGTCGCTGAAGATCGTCGTTCATTATTTTCGGTTGAAAACTGCTACTGCTAAGGTATTTATTTTTTTGCTTTTATGCTTGAATAATTTTTTTCTTAAAGGTGAAATTATTTTTTTACGCTAATCTGAAAATTGGCGCATTAATATGGCAAAATTGCTGAATTATAAAACAAAATATTAAGAAAGACTAAACTGGAATTAAATACATTAATATATAACAAAAATACATTAAAATGGGCCAACAAAAGAATACTTCTTTCATGCATTTATGTAATATCTGTATGCAATGTATATATATATTCATGCATTTATGTAATATCTGTATGCAATGTATAAATATAATGCAATGTTTATGTAATTTTACATAGTTCTGTTTTATAAGTTCATAAGAAACATTGACTGTTAGCAAAATTGAAAATTTTTGCCAAGAAAAAAGTACTTTCTTAAAACAGATTTACTTGCTTTTGATGCGGAATTCCAGCGCTTAAATGCAATACGATGACAATTATTTCCAATGTTTTTCTCAATATTCTCGAAATTTTCTTAATATCTGTGGAAAAAACCAATTTGAGAAAAATGTCTATTCTTTTTTCAAGTGCCTGTGAAAACTATCATTCAGGGAGATACTAAATTTTCATGATTAATGGATTGTTAAGGTCATTCGCAGTTTAAGTGCTTTCGAAAGTTATTTTTCACTGCTATTGTTCGTCAAAAATTTTTTTGTTTTTGTTTAACATATGTTATTCGACGATGATGATGAAGGAGGAACGAGTCTTCTTCCATAATTATTGTTGTCAGATAATTAATAATTAATTTCTGATTCCTTTCTCTTTCTTTTTATGAAATTCCTTTCTACCTGAATTTTTTTTCTAATTCATCAACCAATCGTTCTCACCACTCCTAGATTCCCATTTGATTATTCCATCAGATCGGGAGAAAATTAATAATTAATTTCGAATGATTGCTGTCGGTGAGGGAACTCTAAATAATTTATTGTAATTTATTTATTTATTTATTTATTATTAATTTATTTATTTATTGTAATAATAATTATGATAATAATTATGTAATAATTTATTTTAAAAGTTAAAATTGCGAATATAAAAATTACGAACCATAACTTTATCTTCAGTTCATTATATTCATAGAATTAACGAAATTTTAAGAGAAATCCTAGAATTTCTAGAATTTCCACTTAGATAATTATTATTTTATAAGAATCCTTTTGAAATTTATTTAATTCTCTTGTGATTTATCTTATCTCATTAAATATTAGTTTTTCTTGGTTTCTATAATAGTTCATTTTCCTTATTGTTCAATAAGGATATCAAACTTTATCTTAATTGCTTGGCATATAAATTGTATCAAATAAAAAAAACTAGTTTTAATTCTAGGTTAATTCTAGGTACCAGGTTATTGAATTGCAAAGAATTATCTTCATTTCGTTTAATTTTCCATTCCATAAAATACCATAAAAAATTGTGCATACTTTTTGCATTCTTGAAGAAAACAGGAAAACGATAATCTTAATTTGTATTTAGCCTTGTATAGTTTTAGAGAAAGTTGGCATAGTAAGTTTTTAAACTAGGCTTATTAAATTTCTTTTTTAATCCGGACAATTATTGCTCACTTTATTTTGATCATGTAACCTGTTGGAATTCAACTCTAGCCAATGCAGTAGCGAGGTCAAAATGCGCCCCATGGCGATCGATTGATCGACGGAATCCAGGCTCATCATCACTACTAAATTTTCACTTTTCGAATCTTGTGAATTCAGGAAAATTCCAGATTTTTTCTTTTCTATTTTGCAATTAAACTGAGTATATATTAAACAAATAAAAAGCGTATTTTTTGTGAAATTGTGGAATAGATAATTACTCGAATATATCAGTTTTATTCTGTTTAAGATTCTGTTCTGTTTAAGATGGATTTGTGTAATTAAAATGTGAAAATGGTCGATAGGAAAATATTTTTAAAAAAGATTTGGTATCAACGTATAGAATCTGCAAATTGCCAGTTTTCGATCCAACAATTCGCTTTGTAATTTTTCCCAATTTTTGAATTATTAGATAACTAAAGGCCTATGGATCTATACCTGCATATGATTGAACGAATAGAATTATTGGTCCCAATTTTATCCTACATTATTGTTCAGTGAACAATGCGAATCGAGATTTTTGTTGATTGACTGAATTAAATTTGAGGTTGAAGGTTGTCGTGTACTAGCTCAGTTCGTTTATTTCCCATCAACTGTACCAACCGCTACTGCTGAGTTATGTATTTGTTGCTGAGGTGGATTTTAGCACATCTTTTATATTCTTACTGCAAACAGCAAGAGATCAGTTTAACAGTTTCGTTTCATTTTTTATATTTTGCTTTTCAATATTTGTTCTGCTAATTTTTTTCAGAATTAAAAATTTTTCTTGCAAAAATCGTTTTATTCGTTGTATTGCTACCATTTGGCCGATGACATCTACCATATGTACCTAAATTACGAAGTGTTCGAAATCGAGTTCATTTCACTCTCTTCATTTCTCTCCTAATCCGATTAATCTTTTCTGTGCTACACTTCACTTACTTTACTTTTATTGGGAATAAGAATAATGTAAATTAACTTGATATTGTTGCAAGAAATACCCGACTACTGTCCAATTTTAAATTCAGCTTACAATTCACCATCACAATATTTCATCATTTCTGGTTTGGCTGATGCCACAAGCCAGTAGTCTTTTGTCAGAGAATTGCAAGAATTGCAAAAAATTTAAAAAGATTTTATCTCTTCTTTCGTATAAAAACAAGTTTTAAATGATTAGATTCTGCTTAAAAATATGATTAACGAAATCCTTTGATAACAAAACCAAATTATAAAAATTTCAGCTTAGCGCAAATAATGCTTTTTGCAAAATAATAACGACTTTTTGGAATTATTCCATATTCACTAGCTATTTCTGGATATTTGTTGAAGGATTTTATTTGCATAATATAATTCATTTTTTTCACATATAATTTCACATATAATTCATTTTCAAGGAAACAAGGAAACAAGTGTTTGGCCATATGCATTATTTGCTTGCGGTTAATTTTTTTCGTATTATGAAATTTTTTCCTCGCATCTCCCCTCTTATAAAAATCATTACTTATTTACAGGATCACCATTTGTTACAATAGCTGTTTGATCATAATTACGAATATTTTACGACCAATCTAGGTCGACAATTTTTGCATCTTCCACCGGTGTTGTGAAATATAGTCATAATTTGAAGGGATTTTTCCGCATATGAAAAATAAAATCTGCTCATCCATTAATTCATGCATGGAGTGGAACTATGTGAAGAAAACTCCTTGCAGTTGATACCGACATAATGTAAAGATTTGGTAAAATCTGTAAGATAAGCTTTATTTTACTCTATATTCTCTTATTTCTATTTACCCATATTACTAGAATAAAACCACCACAGAGTCACTTCACTTTGAAGCACATGTGGATAACCAGAACCGTTTGAAATAAGACGAAATAACTCACTTATCATGTCCAAATCTCTTCCATACCATAGAAAAGATGATGAAATATTTATGCATATTTTTATATTTTTTATTTTTACCAATCTTATGTTAAAAATATCATGCACTTCGAATTAAAACAATATAATATATGTATAGCAACTTAAATGACATTGAAATGAAGGGAAAAAAAATGCAAAAAAATTTGTTCCAATTAGTTCCTCATAAAC